TGTTTAATAGGTATTTGACAGATACTCAAAAGACAGAGGGAATTGTGGAGACAGATGTTAAAAAATCAAAATAAGTACTCAAAAGACTTTTTCAGTTATAACATGGATGAAATGATTAAGGTTTGATTTTTAGGACATTGCCTGTGCAATAGAGAGCAGGAATTCAGTCTGGAAATATCACAGAGGAAATACAATATTTGCTGATTGATTAGGAGCCTGGAGGAAGCTGGTAGAGAAAAGGGAGGAGACTAGAATAACTTTGAGGTTGGTTGTTTGGGGACTGGGAAAATGGTGTGCCATTGACTAATCAATTCAATTAATGTCTGAGTACTGTGAGGCAGCATATTGATGTTAAGTTCACGATGTGGTTTTTGGTCTCCAGAGAGAAACTAAGAAGCACAAACCCGTATTTCACATCTGCACTTGTGAAAACCCTCGCCTTCTCTATCTGTCGAGTCATAGGAAGTTATTCATTACCATTTTTAAAATTGCACTAGGGATTGTTTTTATCTGTGATGCCTGAGTGTGTACTGTTTAATAGTCTTTGAAAAATACCCTACTGATATTACTCAAAATCATAGGTAAGACATTGCATTGTCTTGTAGACGGGAGATGTTTGGAGAGTAAGGGCCATCTCAGATCTCTTTGCACAGTGTTCTGTTTTGTTATTTTTTTTCTAGGTTCTAGTGTGTCATAGAACCTATTTGGTATGATTTCCTTTGAAATTCATTACAGATTTCATAGTGACCCCACATTTTGCCTGTTCTTCTATACATTCTATGTTTATCTGAAAGGAATTTTACTTTTCACTTAGTGGATGTAGTATTATACATTCATATATGTCAATTAGATCAAGTTTGTATCACATCGTTAAAAAATATTCTGTAGCTTTATATTTTTAATACCTGGTTATAAGCCATATTCTTAGGAATGTGCAAATGTAAAATCTCAAAATTCTGAATATCTGTATTTCTGGTTTATTTATCTTACTTGAAGTGCTTATGTATCTTTAATTTTACTTCTTAGAGCCAATTTTGTTTATGTTAATAACAGTGCAGTAGTCCCTTTCTATCCATGGTTTTGCTTTCCATCATTTCAGTTACCTGTGGTCAACCATGGTCCAAAAGTAACTGGAAAATTCCAGATATATACAGTTCATAAGTTTAAATTATATGTCATTATGAGTAGCATGATGAAATCTCCCATGGCCTGCTTCGTCCCACCCTTGTGAATCATCCCTTTGTCTGGCATAATGTCAGCCAAAGGTTGTCATCACCAATTCAATGCCAACAGGATTTCCCAATTTGGGGTGCAGTCAAGGGGAGAGACTTTATTCAGTGCAAACAGCTCAATTGTGAAACAGCTCAGCTGTGGAATAGCTTGCTTGTGGGTTCAGCACAGTTATGGAACAGAGTGGCTGTGAGAGAGCTCATTACTGATAGAGATCAGTTATTATCCTGCGTGACTGGGGAGCAGCCTGGGCGAGGTGGCTCCCCTGCCACAGATCTGCTCTGGCAACACAGTTCTCCTGGGCTCCAGTGGTACAGTTCTGCTGGGTTCCATTGGTACAGCTCCAGCCTGAGTTAGAGCTCCAGCTCCAGTGTGACAGCTCTGCTGAGACAAAGGGAGGCTGCTTTTAAAATATATATATATATATAATTAATTATGCTGTTATAGTTGTCCCATTTTTTGTCTCCCCTTTATTCCTCTTTGCCCTACACCTCCCTCCCACCAGCATTCCCCCACCTTAGTTTATGTCCATGGGTCACACATTTAAGTTCTTTGGTTTCTCCATTTCCTGTACTGTTTGTAACCTCCCCCTTTCCATTTTGTACCTACCAATTATACGTCTTATTCCCTGTACCTTTCCCCCATCCCCGCTGATAACACTCCATGTGATCTCCATTCCTGTGATTCTGTTCCTGTTCTAGTTGTTTGCTTAGTTAGTTTTTTTTTTTAGGTTCAGTTGTTGATAGTTGTGGTTTATTGTCATTGTACTCTTCATATTTTTTTATCATCTTTTTCTTAGATAAATCCCTTTAACATTTCATATAATAAGGGCTTGGTGATGATGAACTCCTTTACCTTGACCTTCTCTGGGAAGCACTTTATCTTCCTTTTCATTCTAAATGATAGCTTTGCTAGATAGAGTAATCTTGGATGTAGGTCCTTGCCTTTTATGACTTTGAATATTTCTTTCCAACCCCTTCTTGCCTCCAAGTTTTCTTTTGAGAAATCAGCTGACAGTCTTATGGACACTCCTTTGTAGGTAATTCCTTTCCTTATGCTGCTTTTAAAATGATCTCCTATTTAATCTGGGGTAATGTAATTATGATGTGCCTTGGTGTGTTCCTCCTTGGGTCCAAGTTCTTTGGGACTTTCCGAGCTTTCTGCACTTTCTAGAAGCCTCTTTCCTTTGCCAGATTAGGGAAGTTCTCCTTTATTATTTTTTCAAATAAATTTTCAATTTCTTGCTCTTCCTCTTCTCCTTCTAACACCCCTATGATTTGGACATTGGAATGTTTAAAAGTTGTCCCAGAGGTTCCTAAACCTCTCCTCATTTTTTTGAATTCTTATTTCTTCATTCTGTTGTGGTTGAATATTTTTTCTTCCTTCTGGTCCATCATTGATTTGAGTCCAGGTTTCCTTCCCATCACTGTTGGTTCCCTGTACATTATACTTTATTGTGTTTTCACATAATTTTCACGTTTTCCTCTCTTTTGGGACCATACTCAACCATTTCTGTGAGCACCCTGATTACCAGTGTTTTGAACCATGCATCTTTTGAAGAGAACTTTTTCTCAGTTGTCTGCAACTATTGCTCTTTTCTAATTATCTCTAAATTGTCTAATCTATTTATATCACATATACATGTTAGACTTTTTACCATGCCTTATGTCTGTTAAGTGTTTTGTCAGATTTTCCTCATTGTTTTACTGTGCTTCTGTATAGTTGTCACTGACTCCTCTTTCTTCAGTTGAGTTTCATGAGCTGGTAAATCTATTACTAATTTCATGTTTTTTTTGTTCAGTACAGTTTCAAATCTTTACTGGAATTCTTTTTTATGGAATCTGTTTTTAACTATAACTACCTACAGTAATTACAGTGTTCAGATATGAAACTTGAATGTCTTGAATTTCTGTGAGTTGGTTTCTATTTGGTTTTTATTCATTTGATGTTATATCCGTTAATTGGTGATTGGATGTTGGAAAGAGTTTTTAAGATTGTGAGGGTAAATGTCAGTCTCTGGATGATGATATCTTCCCCATGGGAGGATTTCCTTTTGATTTTTGATTAGTAGTCAGACTAGGTGCAGACTATGTTGAGGACTGAGCTGATTGAGTCAAAACTGCAGTTTTAAAAATCTTTGTGAAAGTTTGTCCAATTTTCAGTTTGTTTACTCCTAGCATGCAACCCTCATGAGGTCTTATGAAAATCTGGGCATTTACTGTGCCCCTTGTGCATTGATTTCTGGGTTCTTTTCTCCTCACCCTGTGAGAGTCTGATTTTTTTTTAACTTTTTTGTTTAGTTAGCTAAACTGAGTATAAATCACCATAATGTTGTTTGAGGTTTTGTTTTAATAGTATATTTGAGGCCTGGGCTATTTCTTCTTTCATAAGGTATATCTGGGTTACTTCTGTAAGCCTGAATAATCTACTAGGACCCATATACCTTGGTTGGTTATTGAATTCAGTTGTTTTGTTCCTAGCTCTGTAAGACTGAACACAGTTCTGCTTAGCTTCTCTCTTCCCACCTGTGAATAACAAATGCTTCACTGGGAAAAGTTAGGAATATTTTCTTCTCTAGGATCTTGGCTCCTTAAATCTTGGCTGCCTTGGAAACTCTACAGTGTCTTTAAAAACACTGAAATGTAGCCCTGGCTGGTGTGGCTTAGTGGATCGAGCACTGGCCTGTGAACCAAAAGGGTCACTGGTTTGATTCCCAGTCAGGGCACATGCCTGGGTTGCAGACCAAGTCCCCAGTAGGGGGCGTTTGAGAGGCAACCACACATCGATGTTTCTTTCCCTTTTTTTCTCCCCCTTTCCCCTCTCTCTAAAAAAAAAGATTGAAATACAAATTTAATTAAGCATTTTTAGTTGCTTTTGTTGAATAGCTAGTTTCATAAAAGCTAATCTGCTCTTGCAAGAAAGATACCTTTTAGCTGTTATATTCCTCAGTTATTTAGTGTGAAGTAATGGTACTTCATTGGGTGTGATGTCAGAGAAGGGAAGAAACAACTGTCCCTTCCCAGTCACAGTGGACAATCATATACACTATGTGTATGTATACAGTATAGATAGAGAGGTCTGTCCAGAAGTTTTCCAGCCAGGTAATATGAAGAATAGAGACATTATTGAAGAAGATACAAGGAACATTGTACACAGGACAATAATGCCTCAGTTCCCTTCCAAGGAGGCACCTTGGGACCTCACACAATTCTCCCAATCGCAATCAGATGCCTGGTCATACTTTCCTGAATCTCATGGACAATCTGAAATCTCTTCCCCTTCAAAGGTGATTTTAGTTTTGGGAAAAAACCAGAAGTCTCAGCGTGCCCAATCTGGGCTGTAGTAGGGCTGAGTCACATGGGTATTTGATGCTTTGCCAAAAAGTTCTGCAAGAGATGTGATATATGAGTGGGTGCATTGTCATGATGAAGCTGCCAATCACCAGTTGCCCATAGCATTGACCCTCCAAATCATCTGAATAGTTTATGTGGAGGAATGTTCAAGCTTAACACAAAACTTGATGCAGATTTGTTGCTCTAATGTGTCAGTCATTTTGAATGTTGCAGCCACACAGTACACATGCTCACTCAGGGGCCCCCACCGACTAGTACAGTGAAGTCATCATTGTTCATGCATGCATATTCCAGTCTACTCTTCTTGGCTGCCAGGTTACATCAGTGTCATGCAAAACCGGTCTTGTTATATCAACAATGGCTGGACTTTTTCCCGACAGACCTCATATTTACTGGGTAATATTCATCTCTTTATAGGTTGCTGAGCCAAACAATGAAGGACCATCTAGTAAGAGTAGCAAACGAAGCTGAATTTATCCTGAGCCGGCAGCGGGCAGAGGATATTCACAGGCATGCAGAATTTGAGGTAGGTTAAACACGTGGTTGTGTGAGGGAGTTGTTACTGCATAGGTGGAATGGCAGTGCTGTGTGAGCACACTTGCCGTCCGGATTTAAGACTGACTTTGTGGGAGAATCTGGGAAGATGGTGCAAGTCTCTGTAACCCTCTACTCCAGCTCCTCTGCACGTTGCTTGCAGCAGCCTCTGTGTTTGTGACCTGATCTTAACCATGGGAGCTGGGTATGGGATCCAGTAGTTTTGCAATAAAGTAAATTGGTGAAGGACTTTTGCCCCCTCTGGGCAAGAAGACAGAGCTAGTTAACTGGAAAGGAAAACCCCTGTGGAAGAGGTAAGATCGTCTAGGTTTCTAGAGAGAAGCTGAACACAGGCATGAAGTTCCTTTCCCCTGTGGTTTTAGAGCACTCCCATCTCTGTAGCAGAGGAAATGGGGAACATGGAGCTTGCTTCTTGGGTCCTCACAGGGGGCCAAGTGACGGCCCCTCTTGGGACTGTTGCTTATTTCAGCAGTGGCACCTGAACATGTGTAACAAATGCTAATTCACAGAGGAAGCTAACGGTGTTGTAGCTATGTAAATTAGCAAAGTTCAAACTGAAGGCAAGTTAGAAGATTCCATAAGAATATTTGCTACAAATTAGAAGAAAATAAAAAGCGCCATTATGGGTACTTTCTTATATGTTAGGAGCAGATAATTCAAATGCTGATATTTTCTGGCACATTAAAAAAAGATGAAAACTTCCCCAGTGCATTTTATACAATCATCATAACATGGAAATGGTACTAGAAAAATAAAACTCTAAAAGATGAATTTCACTTAAGAGTATAGGTGCAAAATTCTAAAACTTTAACCAACATACTCCAACAATGTAATAAAAGAATTATACACTGTGACCACTTAGAATTTATTAATGGAATTCAAAGATGACTTAATATTAAGATTTCTACATTGAAAGTAAATTATATCAAAACAAAAATAGAAACATTATGTGAAGATATCAATAAATGTAGGAAAGAAGTATAATTTCAGCAACCAGCCTCAATAAAACTGAGAAAAAAAGTATGTAAGAAAATAATTTGAATATGATAAAGATTGCTTACTAAAAATCATTTTAAATGGTTAAAGCCATTTCTATTAAAATTAGGAAAAACTGTTATCTGCTTTCATCATTAGTTAACTCTATTTTGATGTTCTTATAAGTGCAAGATAATATAAATTCTAGAAAAGAAGCCCTGGCTGGTGTAGCTCAGTGGATTGAGCGCAGGCGAACCAAAGTATTGCAGGTTCGATTCCCAGTCAGGGCACATGCCTGGGTTGCAGGCCAGGTGCCCAGCAACCACACATTGATGTTTCTCTCTCTCCCTCTTTCTCTTTCCCTTCCCTCTCTAAAAATAAAATAATAAAATCTTAAAAAAAAAAGAAAGAAAAGAAGAGATAACGTGACTTTTTGGTTGTTAATGCTATGATCAAGCATAATGTTTTTCAACCTTTTCATCTCATGGCACACATAAATTAATCACTGAAATTCTGCGGCACATCAAAAAATATATTTTTTGCCTGTCTGACAAAAATAAAGATTTTATTTTGATTCATTCACACCAGACAGATACTGTTGTGTTGGCTGTTGTTTTTTCAATTGGACAGTCTAAGGGAAAAGAGATCAATGTCCCTGACTCAGTAGTGAGGTACTGCATGTTTTAAAAATTCTTTTGGCATACCAGTTAAAAATTGTTAATCTAGGAAAATGTAAGACATTTTTGAACATTTTTCTACCGGAGTTAATAGAGACTTTGGTAATATTACTGGATACATGATACATGTGGAAAAATTAATAGCTTTTCTTTTGACTAGCAAGCAGTAGCCAGGTAAAAATAGAAACAGAAATGGGAGTCTTTATAGTTAAGACAAAAGTATTTGGGGTGAAATTCTGTAAGAAATGCACAGGTAGTATTTGGAACAAAACTGTAAGATCTTATTAATATAAAATAAAACGTAAACTACTGGAAAATCACTCCATGCTGGGCAGTGTACTTTGTTCACTGGGTGGGTAGGTATGTGTCTGTGTGGGAGAGAGGAAAGGAGAGGCAGAGAGGGGGAGGGGGGGAGAGAGGAAGAGGGAGAGAATGAGAATGAATCAGGAGTATTCTGGCATAATTTGAGATTTACAGGAAAGTTATAAGAGTAATGCAAAAACTCCTGGTCACCACCAAAACTCCTGGTCACCGCTGTGATCTTACTGTCACCTTACTTTTACCCCTCTTTTTTGTTATTTTTCTGAACTTGAGAGTAAGTTTGACATCTTAATACCCTTTTATCTCTAATTATTTTAGTGAGAATTTCCTGTTTTAATTTTGTACAATTATCAAATCAGAATATTAAAATGGATATCATGCTATTATTTTATCTACTGATCTTATTCGTATTTCCCAGTTGTCTTCATAGCATTCTTTGTCTTCCAAAAGAGAAAATTTTAATGTTACAGAAATGTTTGATTTTTCAAATTAATATGTACATTTAATACAATAGCATTAGCATACCATTCTATTAGAATAATAGTGGAGTAAATTGGAATTTAATTATTCCCTTCAGAAATATAATATCTGGAAATAAATGTTTTAATATAGCCCTAAGATTTATGAAGAAAGATTGATCAGGCTGTAGTACTTGCCTTTCCAGATAAACAATACTAATTAAAATAATAGTGTAAAAACAGCATATAGAAAAAAAATCTTCCAGGTAGAGTGAGGATATAGGATGAAAGATCATGTAGTAAATATTTCAGAAAAATGGTTGGAAAATTGTAAAAAGGTAGCTGAGGCACATTATAAGAATTTTATAGCCAAGAATTGAAAAGAGGAAAAATACTTTTAAAACACTGTGTTATGCGAGAGATTGAAGTGCTTTGGACCAGACAGCCTATGCATTTGTTGTTTAGTTGAGGTATGATGGTGACTACAGCAGCTAATATTGTTTGAGTCCTTATATTCTGCTAGGAACTGTTACGGAATTTTTATGCGTTTTAACTAATTTAATCCTTACATTAAACCTCTGAGGGAGCCCTGTTAACTGCGTCTCATTTTATAAGTGAGGAAACAGCATAAGGAGGAAATAGCCCAGAGTTACAGCTAGAGTTCAGATCTAGGCAATTTATCTCTTAATTTCTAATCTGTGCTTTTGATTCACATTCATTAGATTTCTGCAAAGTACATGAATAGGATTTATTTCTGTCATACAGTAGCTTTATTTTGAGCTACTTAATTTTATGCTTTATGTAGTACAGTTTTCCATGTTAATCTTTACCTTACTTTGAGATTTATAATATTGTAATATTATAAGGCATGGTAATAAAATGCCTAAGTAAAAACAAGTTTTTCCAAAACTTTTATTGTTAACCTAAATTTTTAGTGGAGAACACAGTTTTGTTCAGCTGTTCCATATGGGAATTACTTTTAAGAGAGCAAACATGTATTTTTAATTTACTGCTCTTATTTTGACAGAAAAGAGCATTTCCTTTGTTTATTCCATAAAGCCCAATTGATTGAAGCATGTTCATGTTTAATATATTTTTAACTATATTGCTCTTAAATCTTAAATAATACTCTACACAGGATGGAGCATATATTTTCCTAGACAGCTTATATTCTAAAGGTTACCTGTATTCAGCCTTGAATTTATGCTGTGAATTCTTTAATAATATATCTGAATTCTGTCTGAACTCCACTGCTAGTTACTTCCTCATGAAAAGAGGAGATGTTGTCATGTATTTAACATGCCATTTGCAGTTGTGAAGGGGCTGACTTGTTTCATTTATTATCAGGGGGTTGATGCCAGTGTAGATCTGAAATGCACAGCTCTGGAGTTCATTGGGTGATTATCTCTGGAGTGGGATATCCTTGACATCTTCTGGTTTTGATTTATGTAGGGGTTCCTTGGGTGTCGTGACATCATTGATTAGGTGTACATCCTAACCTTATTTTTTAATCTTACAGCTGTAAACAAGATGTTTATTAAAAATTATGTCATGTATGACATTGCACTCTGCCTTGTAAATGCGGTGCCCACAATTCATGGCAATCTTTTTGTTACAATGTTTGTCTATCAAAGTTTAATTTATTTAATGTGATATATCTGTAAAACATATCAAGGTTATCTCAGTGATTTAAATATGAAAGTGACTAATTTTATGTGATTTTCACTTTGACATTATTTAAAAAATTTACCTTTTGAGTTTATGAATGTGGTGAGTATATTGAGTTATTGCAAAAAAAACTTAAAATAGTTTGTTTTACCTGAACTGGTAGGTACTATATTCCTCTTGGATTAGGAAATGAGGAGAAAAACCATGTTGGAGGGAAAATTGAAAATAGTGTACAACACATTGAAGATTTGACTTTTGGGGTACTGTGTGGATAGACATATTTGGTAGCAATTTGGTAACATAGATTTAATGCCTAGATAAGATATATCTTGATATGAGTTATATTTTGATGTTAATTAGCTAATAGTTGTGATTATAGTGTCACTGTGCTTGAGTCACATATGCAGAAGATAATAGGAGTACCAAGCTGTCTAAACCATGGAGTGTTACTGAATTCTTTGCCAAGTATTCAGTTGAACTAATGTATTTAACATTCCATTTATGCACTTAAACTTTATTAGGTGTTTAGTAACTCCCAGTCATCCTACTAAGTTTCTCTGGACGGCCTGAATTCCTATAACCCAAGTAAATTAATGCATACTCCCGACACCCCCAAGGAAAACGAAATGCTCCTCTCTACTCATATTGCCATGTGAAGCCCTGAGCCCGTGTTTGTCACAAAAGTAGATCTCACCCGCCCTACTGGCGTGGCTCGGTGGGTTGGGCATCCTGCAAAGTGAAAGGTCGTGGCTGGATTCTGGTGAGGGCCCACCCCTGGCTTGCAGGTCCCTAGTTGTGGGGCATTCGGGGGGCAACTGACTTGCACTTGGATGTTTCTTGCGCTGTCTTTCTCCCTTCTTTCCCCTCGCACT